ACTAGCAAACGGATTTAGCAAGGCTGCAGGACACAAGATCAATGTACAAAAAAATCTATTTTATTTCTATACACTAACAATAATCAATCAGAAATGGAAAGAAAAATATCATTTTAAGAAGCATTAAAATACGAATGACATTGACAAGAAATCTAAGAAAAGATGTGCAAAATCCATACACTGAAAACTACAAATCTAAGAAAAGATGTGCAAAATCCATACACTGAAAACTACAAATCATTGATGAGAGAAATTCAAGAAGTTCTAAATAAATGGAGAGAAATACCTTGTTTCTGAGTCAGAGGGTCCAGTATGGTTAGGGTGTCAGTGATGGCTGTATTAAGTCCATTCTCATTCGGCTATGAATAAATACCCAGTAATACTGAGTAATTTATAAAGGAAAGAGGTGTAACTGACTCACAGTTCCACAGAGCTGGGGAGGCCTCAGGAAATTTACAGTCATGGTGGGAGACACCTCTTCACAGGGCGGCAGGAGAGGGAATGAGTCCAAGCACGGGAAATACCAGACATTTATAAAACCATCAGATCTCACGAGACTCACTCATTATCACCAGAATGGCATGGGGAAAACTGCCCCCATGATCCAACTACCTCCCCCCTGCCCCGCCCTTGACACTGGGGATGACAATTCAAGGTGAGATTAGGGTGAGGACATAGAGCCAAACCATATCAATCCCTCAAATTTACAGATTCAATTCAATCCTGATCAAAATCCCAGTTGGCATTTTTTTTTCTTAGAAATTCACACACTAATTCTAAGATTCATAAGGAAATGTAAGGGGTCTAGAAGATCCCACACAGCTTTGAAAAAGAAGGACAAAGAACAGGAAGATTACCCGATTTCAAGACTTCCTATGAAGCCATAACAATCACTGTAATAGCTGTAGAAGGTCTGGCATCAAGACAGACCAGTAGATCCAAGAAACAGATTATCAAGCCCAGAAACAGACTCACATACACTGACAACTGATTTTTGATAAGACTGTAGGGATAAGTCAATGGGAGAAAGGATGATCTTTTTAATACGTGATAGTGAAATCACTGGACATCCATATGCAGAAAAATAAACTCCAATCCGTAGCTTGCCCCGTGCGAAAGCTAATTCGAGATGAATCACAGAATGAAATGTAAAACCTGAAACTATAGAACATCTAGGAGAAAGCATAGGAGAAAAATCTCCTTACATGTTAGCAAAGAAGACATAATAAATGCCAAATAACCCCGTGGATAGAGTCTCAACATCATTAGTCACTAGGGAAATATGAATTAAGACCACAGTGACCTGCCACCACACCCCTAGTCAAATGGCTCGTTAGAAAGACTGGCTGCACCACGTGCTGAAGAGGATACAGACCTGCCGTTCCCACCCGCGGCTGGTGAGAAGACAGAGTCATGCAGCCACTCTGGAAGACAGTTCGGCACTTACTTCCGGAGTCGAAATACACTTACCTTGGGATCCAGCCATTTCACCCACGAGAAAAGAAAGAATTAAGTCCATGCACAGACTTGCCCACAGATATTCCCAGCAGCTTGATCGGCGACAGTCCCAGATAAGAAACAGCCCCAAATGTCCTCCACAGGGTGAATGGGTACACGCCCTGCAGCCCAATCCCGGCGTGAAATACGACTCAGCCGGAACAAGGAAGAAAGTATTTATAGGCACGACAGCACAGAGGAACCGCCGAATAACTAGATGAGTGAAAGAAGCCAAGCCAAAAATGACTAGAGATGCTACGATCTATGTACATAAAACTCCAGAAAGTAGCAAATGTTCTACGGTGACAAGAAGCGGAGTCCGTGTTTGCCTCGTAAGAGGGGATTGGTGGGGTGTGAGGAGGAGAGGAGGAAGGAGCAGAACGCAATGGTTGGGGGTCGAATATATCTCTGATCTTGATTGTGGTGATGGTGTTGTGGGCATCCACCCATATCAAAGCTTATCAAATGACACACTCTACGTGAAGTTTATCATACGCCCATTGGACTTCAATAAAGCTATTTAAAAAATAAACATGCAAAAATCCAAGTTTACAGGGCCAGGCAAATTGCCACGGCAATACTTAGAGTGCAAATAGATCCCTTCTTTTCTTTTTGAATGGAGTCTTGCTCTGTTGCCCAGGCTGGAGTGCAGTGGTGCGATCTTGGCTCACTGCAACCTCTGCCTCCCAGGTTCAAGTGATTCTCATGCCTCAGCCTCCCGAGTAGCTTGGATTACAGGGGCCTGCCACCATGCCCAGCTAATTTTTGTATTTTTAGTAGAGAAGGGGTTTCACTACATTGGCCAGGCTGGTCTTGAACTACTGACCTCAGGTGATCTGCCTGCCTTGGCCTCCCAAAGTGCTGGGATTACAGGCCTGAGCCACCACACCCGGCCCCACAAATGGAATCTTTATTCTACAAATGACTCACCTGGAGGCTCCTTCTGATGCTTCCCTGTAAAATAGATTCTGTTTACAGTGGTAGCATCTCCGGAGGCGGCTGTGTGAAGGCTGCTGCCCTCCTTGCGGTGAACACTTGGGAAAGCCTGTGAAGCCAGCCCTGGTGCCACTCCTGTCTCCTCCCACAGACAGCTGCACCTAACTCGACAGACACTGGGTGGCCAGTCCGTAGAAGGGACCCTGTTACACACACCCACCGTGGAAAGCCTGAAGCCATGTGAGGGGGACCCCTGGGCTCTGTCTCTTTGTCCTCTCCCTGCTGGAAACTGGGAAAGCCCGGAGCCCGAGCCACCTCTGCCCACAGCCCCGAGTGACCCCCCGAGGTGACCGGCTGTTAGGACAGAAGGACCCGGCTCAGCTCTAGCCCCAGGCCATTTGCTCAGTGCCCACTTCCAAGCCAAGGGTGGGCTTAGGGCAAACGCAGTACGAAAAGATTACCAGACTTTTCTAGTTTTGGCCGAAGAAGATTTCCTACTCCTTTAACCCTGATGGCTCTTCTTTCTGGTCCTGATTTTTGAAAAACGATACACTGGCCTTCTGCACTCACCACCCAAAACCCAGGAACTAGCAGAAGAGAGGCTACCTGAGGGCCAAGGGTTGCAGATACACAGCAAACCTGAGTTTTCTAATTCTGTTTACTATAAATACACATTACCGATGGTTTCCAGCTTACGATGGTTTGACTTAGGATTGACTCACAATTTTTCGACTTTATGTTCGTTGGGTTTATTGGGGGCATTCAAAGCTTTTTTTTTTTTTTTTTTTTTTTTTTTTTTTTTTTTTTTTTTTTTTGGGAGATGCAGTCTTGCTCTGTCTCTCATGCTGGAGAGCAATGGTGTGATCTCGGCTCATAGAAAACTCTGCCTCCCAGGTTCAAGCAATTCTCCCGCCTCAGCCTCAGCCTCCCGAGTAGCTGGGATTACAGGTGTGTGCCACCACACCCAGCTAAGGCTAATTTTTGTATTTTTAGTAGAGATGGGGTTTCACCTTGTTGGCTAGGCGGGTCTCAAACTCCGGACCTCAGTTGATCCACCCACCTCGGCCTTCTAAAGTGCTGGGATTACAGGCGTGAGCCACTGTGTCTGGCCTGCATTTTCTAATTTTTTTTTTTTTTGGGGGGATGGAGTTTCGCTCTTGTTACCCAGGCTGGAATGCAATGACGCGATCTCGGCTCACCGCAACCTCCGCCTCCTGGGTTCAGGCAATTCTCCTGCCTCAGCCTCCTGAGTAGCTGGGATTACAGGCACGCGCCACCACGCCCAGCTAATTTTTTGTATTTTTAGTAGAGACGGGGTTTCACCATGTTGACCAGGATGGTCTCGATCTCTTGACCTTGTGATCCACCCGCCTCGGCCTCCCAAAGTGCTGGGATTACAGGCTTGAGCCACCGCGCCCGGCCCATTTTCTAATTTTATTTGCAATACATATGCATTACAGATGGGCTCCAGCTTACCACGGTTTGACTTACGATTGACTTACACTTTTTTGACTTTATGTTTGTTGGGTTTATTGGGGGCATTAAAAGCATTTCTTTCTTTTTTTTTTTTTTTTTTTCGAGAAAGAGTCTCATTCTGTCACCCCGGCTAGAGTGCAGTGGTGAAATCTCAGCTCACCGTAACCTCTGGAATTCAAGTGACTCTCCTGCCTCAGACTCCCGAGTAGAGGGGATTACAGGTGCATGCCACTACATCCAGCTAATTTTTGTATTTTTTGTAGAGACTGGGTTTCATCACATTGGCCAGGTTGGTCTTGAACTCCTCACCTCAGGTGATCTGCCCACCTCCGCCTCCCAAAGTACTGGGATTACAGGTGCAAGCCACTGCTCCTGGCCCATTAAATGCATTTTCGACTTATAATATTTGCATCTTACAATGGGTTTACCAGGACGTAGCCCCATCAAAAGTTGAGAAGAATCATACTTTTATAATAATCTCCCCAAAGTAAAACTCTGCAAGTGAATTCGAGGAGGGGGTCAGCCCCACGTATGTAGTCGGGGTTGGGGGTACGGAGCAAAGGACTGACAGGCTCAGGCAGTGGCAACCATTCCCCCAGCGAGTGTGGACACTGGGAACTGAGCTGATCTCTGAAGCCCCTTCCCCGAGGAGACCGGGCCATGGAGGTGAGTCAGACCACCCTGGACCAGCGAGCTGGGGCTGCCTGAGGGATGGGTGGCCATGCACTGAGCACCTCGGGTGGGGGACCTTGGGGCTGGGGGAGGGAAGGGATCAGGAAGGACGCGATACTGCTTCACGGGCCAGCCAGAATGGCCCTCCATCCTTACCCCATTCATCCATTTCCCTTTCAGCCCCTCTGCCCCCCAGCCTTCCCAGCACATGTTGGGGTCGCCCGTGGGGAACAAGAGAGAATGACGCAGAGGTGCTAAACGGCGCCCAGCCCTCCCTCCGCAGCCCCCAAACCCTTCCTCCCTCCGGTGGCTGGGAAACCCCAGAAACTCCCGGCTTTCATTATCAGCAGCTCCCGAGATGTTCAACATGCTCATATCTGTCAAAAACTATTCAGGAAAAATAGAGAAAGTCTTTATACCTTTTATACAGCCAATTTTCCCCGAGGCACTCTGGGCTCTCTAAGAAAAGAAAAAGAGAAAGGAGAGAGAATCACAATCAATGCTGTCATCATGCATCTGGTCGCTGGCGATGTTGTTTGCTCATCGCCTAGGGAAGTCTGGAGGCGGAAGCATCATCTCCCTGGGAGTCCGAGGAACCCTGCCCAGGTTAACCTCCGGCTGCCATCTGCATCTCAAGCATGGCTGGGAGGTGGCGTTTATATAACAGGCAGAGATAAAACAAAACAGGACACCGTGGACTGGCCGCCCAGACTCTTTATCTCTGACTCTGGGATGTTCTTTTTTTCTTCCCTGTGCCTCAAACTCCAAGCAATCCCTTTCCCCTTATCCTAGCACCCCCCCCTCCCCAACCTGGTTTTGAGGTTGTCCACAAATGCAGGCCCCGTGGCTTGTCCACAGATGCAGGCCCCGTGGCTTGTTGATGGTGATGATTAGCCCCATACTGGGTTTCCTCTACCACGCTGCAGGGATTTGCTTCCTCCTCCAGTTGCGGGGTGGGGGTCACTTTGAGGGTGATCACCGCATGCACATTCATTTTATTTGTTTGCTTTTGGAGACAGGGTCTCACTCTATCGCCAGGTTGGAGTATAACGGTACAATCTTGGCTCACTGCAACCTCTGCCACCCGGGTTCAAGTGATTCTCTTGCCTCAGCCGCCCGAGTAGCTGGGACTACAGGTGTGCACCACCACGCCCAGCTAATTTTTTGTATCTTTGATAAAGATGGGGTCTTGCCATGGGACTCAGTGCGGTCTGAGTGCTACCTGCGGCTGACCCCCTCCTCAGATTCACTTGCGGAGTTTTACTTTGGGGGATTATTATAAAAGTATGATGCTTCTCAACTTTTGATGGGGTTACATCCTGGTAAACCCATTGTAAGGTGAAAATATTATAAGTCAAAAATACATTCAATGGGCCAGGAGCAGTGGCTTGAGCCTGTAATCCCAGCACTTTGGGAGGCTGAGGCCAGATCACCTGAGGTCAGGAGTTCAAGACCAGCCTGGTCAATGTGATGAAACCCTGTCTTTACTAAAAATACAAAAATTAGCTGGGCATAGTGGCATGCACCTATAACTCCTCAACCTGGACATTCATTTTAATATCATTAAAGAAAAGTCATTGAGCGAATTCTAAACCCCACCAAACAGAATTCCGGAGGGAGTCACTGTGTTATTGTGTATCAGTGATGAGGACAGACTGGCAGGGACCACAGTGACTCACTTTATCGCCCGGGGCCCGAAGCCAGGGCATCGGCTCCTGCCTAAAATCACAAAGCTAGCTCCCGGGGGCCTGGAACTGCACACATGTGCCGGGACACCTCCCTTTTCTCTGTAGGTCATTGAGGAGTTTGGAAACAAAGGGGTATGTGTTCAGCGTGCTTTAAACAAAGAGATTTTCTTCCTTCATTTGAGTAATGGTTCATAATTTTCTGTGTACGTGACTTGCACATTTTCTAACTGTGGTAAAATACACATCACATAAAATGTACAATTTTCACCATTTTCAAACGTATAGTTCAGTGGTATCGAGTACGTTCACACCGCTGTCATTCCCCACCTCTCTGATGCCTGAACCTTTTCACTCCCCAAAAAGGAAAATCCATCCCTGTTAAGACGTCACTCCCTGTCCCCAGCCTCCCATGCATTTGTGTATATGTGCATATTTCTTTTTTCTTTTTTTTTTTAAGACAGGGTTTCACCATGTTGGTCAGGCTGGTCTTGAACTCCCGACCTCAGGTGATCCGCCCGCCTTGGCCTCCAAAGTGCTTGGATTACGGGTGTGAGCCACCACGCCCGGCCACGTGCATATTTCTTTAAGCTTAGTGTAAGAAGTAAAAGCAAGTGAAAAGCCTCTGGAGTTGAAAGACGGTCAGACTCAGCCTCTTTCTTGAGCTCTAGAAAAACCACCACCACTATCCTCATCCACATCACTGTAAAAAGGTAACCACGGTGATTTATCCTGCATGTTTACAGGCACTTCCTGTACCTTGTTTCATTCCACCCTCCCGACAGCTCCAGTAGGCAGACCCCGGGCTCCTGGGATCACAGGCATGTGCCACTACCTCGGGCATCCCTTCTTCAGATAAAGAAACCAAGGCCCCAGCTGGTGAAGCAACTGCAGCCACAGCGACTGGGTCAGCCGACCCGACCCCCAGAGCAGGTTCCCGGATCTCTGCCACCGCCACCCCATCTCATCCACAGGTGGGAAGGAGTACCCCGCCCTGTGGGAGGCGAGAGTGAACGTGGTTGCGGAACGCTGATCTGCACAGGGCCTGGCTTCCCTGCTGGAGTCTGTGCAGATCACAACGGCGGTACTGGGTATGTCACAGGGGGGTCCCTCCCGGCCGCATCAGTGAGGACTGTGGGCGGAGGAGCAGCTGACCTTGAACTGGGCACTGGGCAGGCCATTTCCAAGGTGGCCCCGTGGAGCGCCTGTTCTCCTCCCCAGGAAAATGGAAAAGCCAACTTCTGGCCCGCGGAGCTGTTTCCACACGCAGCTCACAAAGCCTGTGACACTGAGAAGGACAGGGGTGATGGGGAGACGCTGACGAGTCACTTCGAAAGGAAATGCGTCCTCTGAGTTGCTTTCACCAACTGCTGCCTTTGTTGATTTGGGGGATTTTCTTTTTCTTTCTTTGAGATGGAGTCTCGCTCTGCCACCCAGGCTGCAGTGCAATGGCACGATCTTGGCTCACTGGAACCTCCGCCTCCCGGGTTCAAGTGATTCTCCTGCCTCAGCCTCCCAAGTAGCTGGGATCACAGGCGTCTGCCACTATGACTGGCTAATTTTTGTTTTTTCAGTAGAGATGGGATTTCATCTTGTTGGCCAGGCTGGTCTCGAACTCCTGACCTCAGGTGATCCACCCGCCTCGGCCTCCCGAAGTGCTGGGAATACAGATGTGAGCCACTGCGCCCGGCAGAATTTTTTTTTATTGGTGATTTCTTGAAGTGAGCTGTGCTTCCAACTCAATACAATTTGGTTCCATTGAATCCAGCCCCACTGAACACACACACATTCGGATGTGGAGCCAGGACCTGAGCGCTGGAAGGGTCGTCTGCGGCTCTGCTGGAGGGGGGACCCGGCCAGCAGGCTAAGAAGGCGAAGCAGGAACAAGCCAAGCGTGCGGGATTTCACCTCTCGTCCCGAATGCCTCGTGTGTCCTGCCTTTTCTCCTCCGCTGGCCCAGGCTCTGTGTCCGAGCTCTCGGATGTCATCCCAGCACAAGAACGACTTTCAGCCCTGGAATTCCCAGTCTTTGGGCCACATCAGCTCAGATGGGAGCTGGCAGAGCGCCCCGCCACCCCACCTTCCCTGCCTCTGCAAGCCTTTCTCTTCCGAGTGATTCCTGACATCCCTTGAGTTCTCTTAAACACGTCGCACACTTGCGAGCATCTTTATTTGGTCAACAAGTGCAACATGTCCTATCTGCACTGTGTGAACCCAGGGGCTGGGCCCCATTTCGATCACCAAAGAGTCTCCATTTTTGAAAGCTCCAGAACTAGAGGCTGGTCAAAGAGCCGGCCAAGCTTGATGCCTCAGCAACGGGTCCAACCTGTCTCCCTGGCGCTTCGGCCAGGAGCTGCCCAGCTTTGTCCTCCATTCTTTCACAGAACCTCCAGGTCACGGAGTTCTCTGCACCTCCCCAGAGGCCCTTGTGTGTGGAAAGGAAGGTGGTCTCCGTGCGGAGCAGCCCACATTTTGGGAGACCACTCCAGTGGTGGCCTGGCTGCCTGTCCCTGGGACGACGCCTGGCTTCGTGTTTCTGAGATGAATGTCAGCCTCGCTGTTCTATGCTCTCAGCATTTTCTGTCTCTCCGGCCCCTGCCCCACCTGCCCCCTCCTGGGGTCAGGGGAAGGAGGGAGCCCTCGGGCGGGGCCTTTGGGATGCCATCCCACCGCGTGCTCCCAGGGTCAGGAAACCCGCAGCTGAGTCTCAGCCTCACTGTTGGCAAACACTGCTCTCAGCCACTCAGCGGGATAATCAATTATGGTAATTTTTGCCTCGTGAATTAGGTTCCTGGAGGAACACAGGCATCAGCACAGTGGCGCTGACTTCCCCCACTGCACCTGCAGTCACACCCTCAGCAAAGTCCAAACAGAGAGAGCAAGACCCACCTGCCAGGCTCAGACTGTCTCCACACTCCCAGCGCACTGCCCGACTGCCCACTCACCCAGGAGAGGGTGGGTGCCGCACGGTTCCACACTCTTCCCAGGGAGCAACGTGGGCTGTGGATGGGGTGGGCGCCCAACGTGGAGCCCCTGGTCTGCCTTCCCACAGACTATGAAGCCCCCATGGGCAGAGATCATGTCTTAGAGGTCCCCAGACACTGGTGTGGGGCCGCCATGGATGGGAGGCACTGGGTGCATGAATGAACAAAGGAATGAACTTGTGAAGGTGTTTGCCTCCAGGGGTTAGAACTGGACCCCCGTTTTTTTTGAGACAGAGTTTTGCTCTTGTTGCCCAGGCTGGAGTGCAATGGCACGGTCTCGGCTCACCGCAACCTCCGCCTCCCAAGTTCAAGCAGTTGTCCTGCCTCAGCCTCCCGAGTAGCAGGGATTACAGGCATGTGCTATGATGCCCGGCTAATTTTTTTTTTTTTTTTTGTATTTTTAGTAGAGATGGGATTTCGCCATGTTGGCTGGGCTGGTCTTGAACTCCTGACCTCAGGTGATCCACCTGCCTCAGCCTCCCTAAGTACTGGGATTACAAGCAAGAGCCACTGCACCGAGCCTGGCCTTCTGCTTTGAAGCATGGGATCGGATTCTTTAAGAGTGATATTTGCTCCTGGGGAATCCCAGCCATGGCTGTGCATTTATCCACCCGGAGAGGACCTTTCTCAAGTTCTCCCTCCCTGTCCCATTGCTCCTTTAGGCCCCTGATTCCACCTGGCTCACAGCTCAGCCTCCCACCAGTTCCTCCAAAGATGACGTCCTTGTGGGCTTTTCCCTGCAATTCTCCTCCAGGACATGTGATTCCATCTTTATTTAACTCCGTCCAAA